TTGAGGGTATTGATCATCTTTTCCTCCAGAGATGGTTTCTTTTTCTCCACGCTGGTGTGGGGTAAATGATTTCATATATAAGAAATTAGAATGGACAAACTTCATATGTTTTTCAATGCAAGTGATGAAATCCATGCCCATAGGCTTCTTTTGATTGAAAACGTGGATAACCCTGGGTGGTACGGGGATTGGATGCCTTTGTAGTTGACTCTATCAGTTACTTATCTAAATCTTGTCCTTTCATGGCGTGATTTTTTAAAATCAAATATCTTTCCTTTCTAATCTTTATTTTATTGTTACAGGTTGCTTTGGACATTGAGTACCACCCACAATATGTTGATTTCCCACCAAAAAGTGAACCCAAAGGAAGTCATAGTTGGGTGGTAAGTCCAATGTTTGTAAACTTTGTAGTGTTTGTAGTGTTTTTAAGCGTTATGCTTAAGAATCAAGTGCTAGTAACGGTATTTTCATTCGAGAGTTTCAAAGTCTTACCACATGACTAGGCAACTTATTAGGTTTTATGAGGTTGTGTCAAGAAATCATTCATGGGGCTTAGGATTTAATTGATGACTTGATGATTTGTGATGGCGAAGCATCTTCACTTGTCACTGTAAAGTGACGATCTTATATGGACTGGAGTTCAAGAACTTCCTTATCGAGTTGTTTATCTCATCCACGACTTTATTAGTTAGTTTAACTTCTTGGTATGCTTGCATCTATAACTGTTTTGTTTATCTCCGGTTTCTTATTTCTTCTACTCTGGGGAAAACCACTTATGCTAACTTTGGTATTTATGCAGGTATTCAACTGGTCTTGGAGTGAATGGGGGTAGTGCATTAATCCATGAATTTTATTCTCGAGAAGTTCCCAATCCTGTACACTTGACAGTTGATACAGGATTCACAAATGGAGGGGGAACCATAAAAGCATATGTATCACACAATTTATCTCTCGGAGATTGGCAAATTGCTGCTCAGTTTCAAGAAATTCCTCTGGATCTTCGCATGGTGGAAGCTGAGCGAATTGGATGTATGTTTTTATTGCATCTCAACGTTATAGCTATCCTTTTGTTTTCTTTACAGAGCTTGCGTTTTCTTTCTCATGTTAAAATGCATGTTCTTTCTTTCAATGGTAGATGGATGCATAGAGATGTCCTTCAATTTAAAAAATATCATCTTTTACTTAATGTCTTTCAAAATTATTATATGGCATACTTTTATGCAAATTTCAACCGATGTTAAGTATTTTGATATTATAGGTGGCTGATGAGTTATTTTATGCTTCGTTTTCAGTTTTTGTATAGACTTGCGAATCAGAGGAGTTATTCTTGATGATGATTTGAATAATCTAAGTTTGCTTGTTTCTTGTTTCTGGCGATGGCAGTCGATACTCTGAAGGCAACAACTGTTGACAAAATCCCAAATGATTTGGAAGGGATGGAAACATCAATGGAACGTCTACTCGCCCTGATTGATGACATCTACAAATATGTTGATGATGTTGTGGTATGCTGACATTATCTTCTGAATATTCATGCCATGCATAGTTCTTTAATAAGAACAAAATTGATTTTTTAACCGCTTTATAATCAGGAAGGGCGGGCTGTGCCAGACAATAATGTCGGGAGGTTTATATCTAACGCTGTAGGTTCCCTTCCCAAATTGCCCCCTTCAGCTTTTGATAAGCTCGTGAACGATAGTCTGCAGGTAAAGATTTTGTTTCAATGGGCTACAGGTTTTTGGTTATTTCTTGGTTTATGGGAACATCCTAGATTTGCCGGTTGTAATTTTGTTTGATTGAGTGTTTGTTTTCCTTGCAGGATCATTTGCTTTTGCTCTATTATCAAGTATCACAAGGACACAGCTGAGCCTGGCTGAAAAATTGAACACAGCTGCTCAGATTCTGTGATTCTTTTTGTCGATCGTTGTGCCTAGGCGATTTTGCTGGTGAAGTTCCTTTTGTGTTATTTACTGAAACACGTCAAGTCTTTTCCCCCCCCCCCCCCCTCTTAAATTTTGTAGTTTATTATTATTTTTTGTTGTTTTTGGAGCTGAGATTCATAGGCTTCTCTTAATTATATCCAAGTTCCAGTTTAACGGTTCACCCGTATTGTAATCCCTCATCTTCTAAAGAAATCTGGCCAGATCTTTTTTCAATGCTACCTGGCACAATGTTTATTTACCTGGTCGCTCTGTCAGTCCCCAGTCGTTTATTCGAATGGAGTTTAATGGAAAAAGAGAAAGTAAATTAAAATTGATATTCGCTTGGAAAAATTGAGCTGGCTAAAGATGTAAGATTGTATGAGGGAGAGTTGATGTCCCTTTCCAGGCTCCCGCGCTCTCTCATCGCTGCCGGGCGTAATATATCAATCTAAATTGCGTAGTCTTTGGGGCTGGCCACGTCTTTTTTCTCTTTTCCTTTTTTGTCCCTGGGAGTGATGCGGCGGAATAAAATGAAACCAGAATCGTTGGAAACGATCATATATTCATGTGAGTTGGAGAAGAAAGTGTTTGAACTGTTAACTGTTGGATGGAGTTGCCTTTTACAATTATGGAGCCAGATAAGTTAAAAAGTAACAGGATTACATGTCCTCAAAATTCTCAAATTTGTCCCCAGCTCCAGGGGCATGTTATACTATTCCATCTGATTTTGATGCATCCTTTTTCATTGTCATCAAATTTCTAACTCGTCTGTTTATCCAAGCACGAATCATCCATGAGGCCTCCTAAGTATCATAAACAATTTAGGTAATGACTCGTTTAGTCGGGCAAAATTGACAGTATCAACTATACACGCCTTCTAAAATAATCCAAAATCTGCAAAAATTATGGCTTAGTAGACGGAAAAAAGGAAAGGAGAAACAAGGATGTTAAATTTTTGTTTAGAACATGAAGAACTTTATTAAAATAACTAGAAAAAATTTTGAGACCAAATCAAAACGTGAGTTATAACTGAATTGTGAAGCGCATATATATATATATATATATATAAATATTATAAATAATAAATCACCATTATGTACTAGTGGCTGAAATAGAGGAAGTGATGGGTGGGCCCAACTTGTTGAAGGGTCATGGCTGGAGAATGTTCCTATGCATGTCTCGCCTAATCTCTGCTATATCTGTCATTATCTGTATTAAGCACAAATAATGGCACTCTATTATATTAATACCCCAAAGGTATCACACATAATATGCTTTTTGTCGCGCATGGTGATGATGGTGGTGGTGGCCGCTTGCTGTTCCCAGAAAAAGAGAAGCAACAGATTTAAGGTTTATGGAGACAAGAAAGTAAACAAGACACGGATCTTACGGAGCACAGTAAGCCTTCTATCTTTCACGCCTTCCCCTATTCCCCCCAACTTCTCTTTTCTTTTGACACAATTTACTCTTAGCCTATCCAGCAAGATCTAAATTATGTTAAACACCAACAAGTTAAGAGCGTTTCAACCAGAGTCTGATTTCTGAGTTCTTCCGCCCGATCAAAACAGCCAACGATCACCAATCATCTCGAAAAGCTGATATTCTGGAGATAAGTGCCCTGTTTGGTGTGAATACTTGTATTAGCTCATTCCATATACAATTTCCAACGCTTCTTCTCCTTCAAGCAAATTTCGCAACCTAAAATATTATATCATTTTATGTACAAATCAAAGAAGAAACTTGAATTCAAAGCATTATACACGTATCTGTGACCAAGAATGTCTGTGTTTCGAGACTGAGCTGCTCGATGATAAGTCATATAAAACCAAGTGGCTAGCTGCCTAACCTATGCACAGTTGGGTTAACAGCTTCAGTCCAAAGCCCCTTGAAGTTAGAGAAGTCAAGCCATTGCGCCAAATATGAACAGACAGAATGAAACTACGCCCTTGGGAATTGCAGAAAGTCGCCTCTGTCGTCTCTAGCAAATTATTAACTCCGGTCATTAATATAAAAGCTTGTTTGATTTTTATTTAGTTCTAAGTATAAGATTCTAATTCATTTTGTTCTCTTTTTTTTTTTCAAGATAGCCTTTGTAATAATGATAGTTCTAGCTAATACATTTGATTAGTAAGGATATTTTATGAAAAACAACACAAATTTAATACAAATAACCAACCTAAACTAATTTTGTTAATCTATTCAAATTAGTCAATTAGCTCTTATATTAAAGATCAGAAGTAGTATTAAAATATGAATGAATACCAGTGACAAAATACGCAAGACAGGAGCTAGTGACATGAGAAAAGCCAAGTGGCATCACTTTTTTTTTTTTTTTGCCCCTTTTGGTCATGAGTTGTCTGTCTCTCCAAGTCGTGTCACCTAGTTTATGTTCCCACATAACCTTAAAAAGAAGATCTTTCATGAACCGTAAGTCAACCTAACTCAGTATCTCTTATGATCACAACCGTCCAACTCACATCCCACAACGTGCAGCTTTGACTTTCACTTCCCACTTTGAACTTTAGCAGACAGCCACTTCTTTTAAAAACACCGAGTTTTGTTCAATTCGCATGTCTTGTATGTGATTACTATGCCAAGCCTTGATTAAAAAATTCACTCCAATACACATAAAAGGCCACTACATATAGAATGCTGATAATAAAATAGATTGTGATCCATTCAGTCTTAGTGTGACCACGTAAATCCCAACACGTGATGTGTAAAACACATGAACTCGAGGAAATTAAAAATATAAGTGCGAATTCACACAGTGGCTACTTTTGCGCATGTCTTTATCTTTGTGTTTGCTTTTGCTTACAAAAAGCAGCTCTCAACATAGTTCAATCTCGAATTCACCAAATTCAAAGCGGGCAGAAAACTATCAACATGTAGAGCTGATCATCTGCGATACCCGACAAAAGAAGTTAAGAGAAAAGAGACAAGGATTTTTGGTATTAAATTATTCAGTTATGGCATGTTTATATATGCTCAAACACAGAGTCAGAGAAAGCTCAGAGCCTAAAGTAGAGTGCTCAGAGGCAGAGACAGGGGCATATCTGTGATCTGAAAGTGAAGGATATGGAAGATGGCATGTCAGGGTTTTGTATCAGACCAGGAAGTTTTCGGAGAGGTGATAGTAACGGGAATAGTGGAAGTAGTGGAACTAAGTGTGGGCGTTGGAATCCGACAACAGAACAGGTTAAGCTTCTTACTGATTTGTTCATGTCTGGACTGAGAACCCCAAGCACTGATCAGATTCAGAAGATCTCCACTGAGCTTAGCTATTATGGCAAGATCGAGAGCAAGAATGTGTTTTATTGGTTTCAGAATCATAAAGCCAGGGAAAGACAGAAGCGTCGCAAGGTCTCATTCCACGACAAGGATCTCAGTAACATTGGCCGTCAAAACTCTCTGTCATCTCCCGCACACAGTGAGTATTTTCCTTATTTTTTGTTACATGACGTTGTTTGGGTTCTGAACCTTTTCCTAAAGATAGTTCCTTTTGACAGATTTTGCAGAGGCGGATCAAGGTCAAGAGCCAGAGAGAGTGATAGAGACTCTTCAACTGTTTCCCTTGAACTCCCTTGGTGAATCAGAAGCAGAGAAACTGAGGGCACAAGCGAATAGATATGGGGATGATAGTAGCATGTTTCAGTCCTCAATGGCAGAAAATATGGATAGCCCAGCATTAGATTTGCGCTTAAGCTTTCTGTAAACACAGTGGAGGGAGGGTAGAAGATGTTATTTTAACATAATTCATTACTGTCACTTGGTGAAGTTAGGTTTAGCAGAAACAGTAGAAGAAGTAGTAGCAGTTTTAAAAGTATTATTATAGCTTCAAATTATGAATGACGTACTGACATGTAGCTTTTTTGACTAGAGTATTTGAAATGTCTGGACATTCTCCTCTGCTTGGTCATTCAACGTGGTATTATCTGTGTCTGAGTCTAGTTTGTCGGATTATATTTTAATGATGCTTGGAATTCTGATTGGCTTCTGTAACAATCACACAAATGATCCCCAGATAATATAACTCAAATCAATAATAATGAACCGTTTATAATAAAATTCTAAGCTCAATACATTTGACAGAGTTAACAATATTAAAGGAAAATAACATAACTCTGATTCAATGGAGATTAAGAAATATAGAATGAGAGTAGCAGGAGAGAATAGAAGATCCAGTCACTGAGATAGTGCAGCTGGCCAGGGAGAAGAGAGACTCAAGGAGGCGGGAAGACTACACATAATTCATTTCACACCCTCCCCTGATGACATCTTGTCTTTTTATATGGCATCTCAATACCTTTTTGCTGCCTCTTCCTCTTAGCATTGGTTCTTCCTTCCTGGGCTCCTCATTGGGCTCCCTATCCTGGCCCAATTCTTCTGTGACCATGACATTACCTCCCCCATTAAAATAGACCTTGTCCTCAAGGTCTAGCTTGGAGAAAATAACTTGAGCAACAACCAAAAGGTCCCATATGGGAGGATCAAGACAATTCCAAATGACCAAATAGTGATGGCTCCAAGAAAAATGAAATGGTGTGTTAGAGGAAATAACACTTTGTTGGAGTCGTAGATGTACCATAACAAGCCATAGAAAAATTAATGGAATCCCAGTTTGGAATTTGTCTTCAATTACAATAGTGTAATCTATGTGTAGGGGAGCCATTTGGTTAGAATGACACAAGGAAACCTCTAAACAACTTACCTTGATAACCGTTCCTAATGTCCCAAGAGTATGCATGTTGAGAACTACAAGGATAACCGCAGCACTATTATAGAAATGACCCATAGTATTAACACTCATTACCTCTTTGTATAGCTTGGCCATGCAGCCATTACCCGTCTTCAAAATTTGGTCTGAACCTTGATAAACTTTGAGAAAATATTCTTGGTTTACAGATTTCAAGGTGCCACTTCCAGAATTTGCAACAACTTCAGCCCAAAATTTTCCATTCAGTCCGGTCACATCATCAAATATTCTAGGCCCCCATTTAAGATACAAATCTCTAACATGAACACTAACCAAGGCCGATGCAAAATCACTAACCAAGGCCGATGCAAAATCACTAACCAATGGCATTGAAACTCTCGATATATAATAAGGGTAGCACATTGAAAGGAATGGAACAAAGATGTAGGCATCAGGAATATAGCTCAAATAATTATATGACAAATGATAATGTCCAATGATCACTAAATCAAGGAATTGAAGGACATTTACCATAAAGGGAGGAAGCTCGTGTACTGTCATATGCCAAACTAAGATTAATATACGTCCATGATACACCATTAGAATATTAATCCATCGACCCTCTTGTAACTTCACTATTCCGGCTAAAACCTTTACTAGAAACTCATGACTCACTTCAATAGCATCAATATTTTTCAGGTGTATTTGAAATGATAATATAATATAATTCTCATCACACACAAGCACCTTTAGTCCCATCAGAGCATCATGGAAACTCCAAGCTATCAATATTACCATTTGTGTATCCCGAATTGAGGCAGGCAACAAAGGGAATTTATAAATGGCAGCATCAAAAACATAAATGGAATCCAATCTTGTAGCCCAATGCCGACAGTGTATTTTAATCCATAAGTGGTCATTGTCAAATAAGAGTTCGTTGAATCCATTAAGAGTCCAAATCAAATAAGAGATAGCAGAAAGAGGAGGCATTGAAATTTCCAGAACATTACCCACTGTCCTCATATCCACCGCATGTAAGAGATATGTAAAACAAGTTACATAAGTCTGCAGAACAGATTTAGATTGGGTATATGCAAAGCGATCAAACCTGTAACATGTCGGCTGCTCATTCTCAGCAAATCTGTGTAATCCGTAAGGAATTTCTATTATTGAGCCAGGATCAAATACCCATTGAACAATCAATCCATGAATCGTGCCCTCAATCTGATTAGTCATCGGTAACAAGGCTGCCACTGTCAGAGGAACGAGGCAAGAATGAGGCCGCAGAATTTCGCTATTCTCGTGGCTGTCAGCTAGCTTCTGTCTCTCACTAAGAATGGTGATGCAGCGCCTAGGGTAGCTGAAGGGGAATTGCAGAGGCTGAATTTGGGTTACATTGAAGTTCCCAACGTCACAGTTGATAGAGTTAGTAATTGTACGACCGTTGATAGCCATCTCTTCAGCATTCGGTTTGCGTAATGATAGGAAGTCAGAGTTCACAAAAATGCGACTGTCTATCCCATCTCTCTGTTCTTGTGGACATTTGATATCTGATTGAGAAAAGGATTCATGCGCTGGCAGCGATTGAACTGAGTTTGGTCTCTGCGAAGGTGGAGACTCATAGACTAATCCCGTACTGCTCATGATCCTAGCCATTGTGGCCTCCATTTGGTCAATCCGGGAATAATCCTTCATCACGTCAACAGTAGTCTCAATCTCTGTAAACCGATTAAGAAGTAATGATGTTGTAATCTTATTTGCTTTAAAGCCATCGATCGAAGGAGATCTATCCTTCAAAGTAGATTGTGACTGTTCAGTTCTTTGATTCAAGGCACCGATTGAATTGCTGAGCCTTTGCAGCAGATGTTCCATTCGGTCGAAACGATCATCTATTCGCTTAAAGCGACCCCCAGCCTCATCGATGAAATCATTTACCTTCTTCATATCAGCTTGCAACTCGCTCATAATCGTACTGTCCGCCATTAGGGTGAATAAATCTCTCAATGAAAGCACCAATTGTAACAATCACACAAATGATCCCCAGATAATATAACTCAAATCAATAATAATGAACCGTTTATAATAAAATTCTAAGCTCAATACATTTGACAGAGTTAACAATATTAAAGGAAAATAACATAACTCTGATTCAATGGAGATTAAGAAATATAGAATGAGAGTAGCAGAGAGAATAGAAGATCCAGTCACTGAGATAGTGCAGCTGGCCAGGGAGAAGAGAGACTCAAGGAGGCGGGAAGACTACACATAATTCATTTCACACCCTCCCCTGATGACATCTTGTCTTTTTATATGGCATCTCAACCTTTTTGCTGCCTCTTCCTCTTAGCATTGGTTCTTCCTTCCTGGGCTCCTCATTGGGCTCCCTATCCTGGCCCAATTCTTCTGTGACCATGACAGCTTCTTTTCAAGAGTATTCACCTAGACATGCGTAACAGGAGAACACTCGAGTCTCATGCAACAGGGTGCTTCATCTTTGAATATCACGAACCGTTTACACACGAGCAGTGGTTTGGAACTGCACATGGGATCTATATAGTTGGGGTTACCATTCTTTATCATCCTTTTCTCCAAAAATAATTGAAAACTAATTACCGTTTGATTATAAAGATGGGGACTTGGGTAATGTTGGAAACACTGAGAGAAAATAGAGATTCCCCTTTGACGAAAGGATTATGGAGTGGCTTTAAATGCAACAAGGTTAAAAGAAAAATACTTTTGCCTATTCTTATTACATGCAGACTTTTAGGCTCTCTGTTGATCCACATGTTGTCTTGTTTCAATTCAAAACCAGATTTCATTTTTGGTGACTAAACTTGCCAATGAAAAAAAAAAAAATTAAAATGTAGTGATGATGATGATACCGAGGCTTTTTCTTATATAGAGAGCAAAGAAATAATTCCAGCACGAATCTATGTCAGGACTATATCCAAAGCAGCAAACAATGGATCATCTTCGCTCCTTAGTATCATGAGACGGAAGGGATTACCTTCTATCATTGGTATTATAACATAACAGCAATCTACTTTGTCTATTATCTTATATATTTTTTTCAAATTAGTCCTTATAAGAATTGCATATGCTAAATATTTTATT